ACATCGTATGAGTCCTAAACGTCAAAAATATGTAAGCGACATCTTTTTTATTTTTGATGCAGAAATGCATCTGCATCATAAAGAAAATTTTGAAATAAATCTTTTTACATCTTTTTGGCGGTTAGGGCTCGATATGTGAAAACTATGTGATTGGCGGAAACTCTAACTCACGCACGCTCACGCCAGCCAAAGTTTCAGTCACGCAACGTGTCACGTAGGAAATCACGTGGTTTGCATATCTATCCCTAGAATACTAACGTTCGCCTGTGAGGCGGAACGAAGCGCGATATTTCAGGAACGCTTTTAATGATCATAGTAAACGTTCGCGCCAACTCAGCTTAGCGCTGTACGAGGCTGTTAGCAAACGCACATTGTGCAGTGGCCTTGCGCGGCTGAGTTCCACGCCCTCTTGACGCCTGACAGGCGAACGTTAGGAGTAAAGGTAATTTTGTTTGCTGTACTTATTTCAGTTTTTAACATGTTTGTTGGCTATTTTCTGTTTTGAACTTAATTTTTTTTTTTTACTTTTCGAGAGGGGTTCCTATGAAGAACAAGTTCTAAAATGATTGGAAGAAATATCGTTGAATGGAATCGATAGTGAGAACAATTTGGAAGAAGATTTCAGTGAATGCGCCTTATGAGTAAAAACTAAGCAGTTGCTTTTCAGATGGCAAAACAGATTAAGCTTAAAAAATCTGTATAAAAATATTTAAAAATCTTTTCAACGGAATCGTAAGAATGAGATTTCTGATGCTGTTTTTTTTTTACTTTTTTTCAAAGATTGATTTACAAAAAACTTGAATAACTGGGCCAAAACTATTCTTATTTAGACTTATGGGATCTCGATAGAAAGGTATTTTCACACTGTTTTTATTTCAGTGCAAAAAAGCCATTCGTGTCCCCTTTTTTTTTCAAATACCAACACATCTTAATTCAACTTTGAATGACGTTCGTTCATCCTACCTTTCTCTTTCATCCTTTTAATGAGTTTATTATCAAATAAATAAAAAGGGTGAGAAAATACTTTTCCAGTGACACCTCTTAAGTCTAAATCGGAAGAGCTTAGAAAAATCTTTGAAAAAAGTTAAAAAACAGTATCAAAAATCTCATCATTACGATTCCGTTTAAATTTTTTTTTAATTTTTTTAAAAATATTTTCATGCAAATTTTTTAAGCTTAAACCGTTTTGTCATTTGAGGGGATTTTTTCAAAAAAAAAAATCTTTAAGAACCTATTTTTATTCATGAAAAACTCCATTTTTGGAGGTATTTTCAAATCGGTCCAGCTCACTTAAATCTTAGTATTTTTCGGAAATATTTTGGTGGACGTCTTAAAATATAATAGATTTTATAATTCTAATGGAAAAATAGTACAGATTTTTCTTTGTATGGGGAGCGATGCAGTCTAACACAAATATGTATGTTTGGACATATGTACTAGAGGCCTGCATGAATGCATTCAAAACGGCTTATGAATTATTCATATAAAAAACGAATGAATGACTTTGGCTTCAAATTTTTGAATTTGAGTGAATAGCTGTTCTGATATTTGTGTCGACATTACAATATTCAAACAAAGTGAAAATAAATTGAATTGAAATAAATGACAAATTTTTGTATGAATATGCAAAAATATTTTTTCTATGCACATATGTACAAACATACGGGCGGTATTGTCACTTGCGAAGCGAATGAATTTGGCGAAGCGAATTAAAAGGCAGAGAAGGTATTAAAAGTGTGCGCGATGCGAAGAACTTGCACAAGCTGATAAAAGCGAACACTCTTAATGCATATTTAAGTTGCGTCCGCCTATCCCTTCGCTTCGCCAAACCGTTCGCTTCGCCAAATTCATTCGCTTCGCAAGTGACAATACCGCCCTACATATGTATGTATGTATGTATTGCTGCGCTCCTATTACGTACGAAAAAAACTTGTTTGTAAAAGAAAAAACTTTTACCGAAATGAGTTTGAACGATTTGAATGTTTTCCATTCAGTCATTCACATTCTTCCATTTGAAGGTAGAAAATTAAAAACAAAATGAGTATTCATAACTTACAAAATTCCAAACGCTGAGTGTTTTGTATGTGAAGTAAAATATTCAAATCTAGAGTACTCTGTTTGGCTAGAAGTTTGAATGAATTCATGCAGCCCTCTAATATGTACATAGAAAACACGATTCAATAATAAAAGGTTTGCTCAAAAAACAGTTTTCTCGCTCCCTCGTGACCAAATCAGCTCCCTTAGCAAGGCACTGTGAGTGGGTTCGTGTGTGAGTGCAAAGCTTTTGTAAGGGAGCTAAGGGAGTGTCAAAACTCGAATGCCACTAATGAGCAAACCTTTAATTATTGAATCATGCATAGAAAAAATATTTTTGAATATCCATACAAAAAATTGTCGTTTATTTCAATTCAATTTATTTTTACTTTGTTTGAATATTGTAATGTCGACACACATATCAGGACAGGTATTCACTCTAATTCAAAAAAAATTTAAGCCAAAAACATTCATTCGTTTTGTATATGAATAATTCATAAGCTGTTTTGAATGAATTCATGCAGCCCTCTAGTGGGTATAGCATACCAGGCCTCGAACACTTTTTCCCAAAGTTCTGCGCTGTTTTTAGGGTTCGCTGCTCTTACGGCGTTCTTGACATCTCCCCACAGATTTTCGATGGGATTTAGGTCCGGCGATTGTGCCGGCCACTCCACTATATCGACTTCGGGTCACTATCTTGTTGATATACCCATTTAAGCGGCATGTTGTCTTCGGCATATGGAAGCATAGGGATCTCAAGGATGTCTATATAAATAAATTGATCCATAACTCCAGAAATCTTGTAAATCGGACCTACACCGTAGTATGAAAAGCACGCCCAGGCTATGATGGAAGCACCACCATGTTTTACGGTCTTCACGGTGTTCTCGACGGCCTTTAGAGCCGAATAGTACCATTTTACTCTCGTCGCTCCACAAAATATTGCAACACTTCGTAATAGGCCAATCGACATGCGCTCTGGCGAACTCCATCCTTTTTGCAATGGCCTTTTTGGTGAGTAAAGGCACTTTCCGGGGGCTTCTGGGAGGAATTCAGATTCTAGCAATCTCCTTCCTATCGTCACTGCACTGACTAGTAACTCTAGTCGTTGCTTTATTTCTCTGGAGCTGAGTTTTGGATTTTGTTTTGCAATTTTCTGGTTTATTTTGCCATTTTAAAGCATTTGCAATCATTTTAGAACTGCATCGTACAATTTTTTCTATTTCTCGATAATATTTGCCATTTTTACGCTATGTTTTGATGAAATTTCGCTTTTCTTCTGTGCAGTGCTTGGATCTGCCCATTATGCTTATATATTTCAACGAAATTAAACTTACCATTCGCAGCAAAAAGATCAGAACAATCAAAATTTGTGTGAAGAAAATACCGATTTAATGTAATTCTGCAATTATTATGAACAGCTTTTATCACATGTGCATAACAAACTAACTCCGTAACAACATTGAACATTTATTTTCGCTCGCTCGCGGTATACTAAAACTAAGGTGCTTTTACTGCTATTATGAATGACTTTATAATATTGGATATAGCGCGGCTATTTTTGTGAACATAACTGTACGTGTATTTATTTGTCGAATCTGCTTATTTTACATCTATGAAGCCTAACATGTTTGAAAATCTCAAGTCTAATTTACAATGATATAGTTCAAATCGCCTGGTTTAGCGTCGCTCAACAAAAGGCTGGTAGATCTCTTCTTTGCAGGCGTCATGGTATGTTGTGTTGAACAACATATCCACCTGCCAGTGGATTTGGGTGACTAAGCAGTTTTATTTTACACCATCGGTATCCCAAGGCCTCTATGTATATTTTCATTGCGTTTCGGTGCTCCCGTTAAGGTCCTTAGCGCTTTTGATGGAAATCTTTGGATACTNAACAGTTTTATTTTACACCATCGGTATCCCAAGGCCTCTATGTATATTTTCATTGCGTTTCGGTGCTCCCGTTAAGGTCCTTAGCGCTTTTGATGGAAATCTTTGGATACTCTTAATGTTGGTTGCACGGGTTGTACCCCACAGTTGAATACCATACATCCATATAGGCTTGATGACTCTATTATATATTTATAAGTACTTTATAATCCAGTTTCATTTTTGAATTTCTGTCAGTTCAAGCTGACTTCAGCTTCATTTGTGCAATCTTGGTTATGTGTTCTTGCGCCAGGTTAGTTTCCTGTCGAAGTTTATTTCTAGATACGTCACTCCATTGGCTTGTGGAATATGAACATTACTTAATTTGATGCCGGGCATAATTGCGGTCTCAATGAAAATTGTATATATTTACACGTCTGTTCGTTGAATTTTATGCGCCAGTTTGCCACATTGACCTAGTTTTCCTCTGGAGCTGATGNACAGGTTAGTTTCCTGTCGAAGTTTATTTCTAGATACGTCACTCCATTGGCTTGTGCAATATGAACATTACTTAATTTGATGCCGGGCATAATTGCGGTCTCAATGAAAATTGTATATATTTACACGTCTGTTCGTTGACTTTTATGCGCCAGTTTGCCACATTGACCTAGTTTTCCTCTGGAGCTGATGGCAACTTACGGATTCGTAATCTGTATAAAAAAGTCGATCAAAAACAGCTTTAACATTTGCCGCACGAAAATCAGTGTTGCCCTGTGTTTTATTGATCAAAAAAATAAAAATCCAATTTTAACTATTAAATTATGATTTTTATTATATCAGAACCGTTACGGCCCCTGATAATTTTCTATGTTAAGCCGAATGGCATTCGATCTAAAAGAAGATAAACAATTAAATGCGTTTTTCTAAACTGTTCGCACAGACAAAGTTTGAATTTCGTTTAACTTTTTCCAACAAAAACGACGTAGGTCTAGCAACGTTCGATGTGCAAAAGTCAGGATCATTGGTTTAAAATAAAGATAATTTATAATTTGCATAAGATCGCAAATGCGGATAAAATATTGATAAGAAGTTTATTTGTAAATAAATTATACTTACGAATAATATTGAATCAGAGATCCAAAAAAATGTTCCCAGGATAAAGCTGTGCTGCCAGTTAATCCTGAAGCTTGTCTCAACAGGTTGAAGGTATAACGCGCAGACCTTTCACAACTTGTCAAACCAGCTATCATTTTTAAATACGATACAAACAGAGTAGATGGTAACAGTTCTCCAGCTAAACGAATAAACTTAAATAATGACACTGATCGAGAAGTTGTTTTCAATGAACTGAACGTTGAATCAAGTGGTTCCCAAAATTCTATGCACAGCGAGAGTTCGGCTCGATTATCTTTATAAAATTTGGATATACACAGCATCAACATTTCAAAACTGTGGTCTAAATTGCTGGGTGGCTCCAGACCTTCTTTTAAAAATCCCATAACTGCTCGAGCGGTTTCATCAGCCTTTCCTCGTAATTCGGTTACTTTAGAATGCATAAATTCAATGAAGTCCGTAATTAACATATGAAAACGACGGTAAAAGAATTCGTGCCTAAAATTAAAATAGATTAGCCAAAATCTTTTAAACATTTACCTTGGTTCAATATACAGGTGAAGTAATAAGAAAGCTTTATCGCTTTATTTTCTGGCATTGGGCTGCTGAAGATAATGGCTTAATCCTTTTATTAATCTAGGGTAACAGTGCTGATTCTGGAAATTTCTTAAAATTTATATGCTACATCGTTCATTAACTAAAAGACAGTCTTAACTCGAAAATTCAGATTTTCCAGGAGACGCAATTAGTTATGCGGAAACTAAAATAATTTAGCACGAAAATATTACACACTTTGAATGATGACGAGTACAATTCAAAGATACTCTATTTTAACGAAATTAATCATTAGTGGATTAAGGCAAAGAATTGATGAATAATGTACTTAGTTTTAAAATGTAAGAACAAAATGTAATATTACGTTCAAATGAGCGCTATTTAACATGTTAAATGAAGAAGAGCTTCTCATATATCACAATCGTTCACATTGAAATTATAAAGTTAATTTTGACGTTTGCTCGATTACAAATAAGAATCAAGTTTTTGTTTAGATTTTTTTGTCCGATTTTGTCTGCTTTATGATATTAACGCATGCGGTTTACTTAGAGACTTCAAAATTGTTAGTTTGTATTAGAGGTTTACGCCGACAGGCTTCGCGGCGGCGGCATGGTCAACTTCAAAAACAATCGGCGGCGACGCCGGCGCTACTGCCCATAAGGTAGATTCCAAAGATCCATGGGGATACTAGTCTTATCATGTCACCTCGTCAGCGCTAGGCATTCGATATGCCAATTCAGATTATAATTCTATTTAATTCATTCTTGAATAAGTCTTAAATTTAAATAATGTTACTTCCTACTTGAATTAAAATGATGAGTGCCTGGCGCTGATGGATGGGCGAACAGAAGAAGGCCTGAGGTATATATTTACATATGAACATACATACACACATGGTTCTCTATGTTCTCTACAGATCCGTATGTACTATTTAAATTTAAAAATAAAAAGGTTAAGTTATTGGAGTAGTTTATGTCGCTACTGAAGCATTTCATGCCACCGCGGCCACCTCTGTGCGCGACCTCTCAGGATTTGGATGAAAGTTGAAGAGAATGAAGGTCTAGGTGACATGAACATACGTGCAGCATATCTTGTCGATAGGCCTATTTACACGGGACTTAAATTTTAAGAAAACTTTCCTCTTTCAAAAATATACAATTTCAAAAAATTTCAATGTCTATTTATCATATTGCTCGAGCGTTAGACGATCCAGAGTCCATACGCCTAAGTAGCCCATTACGCCCATTTGGGTACTTAAAGTTGACATTATAGACAATGTTTTTATGTTAAAAAAAAAAACAATGTTTGAAACGCTATAAAAAAAAATAAATCAAAAAGAAAAATGTTTACTTATTTTTTTTTTTGTTTTTTGATACGTTGCACATTGATGTAAAAAATGTATAATTAAAGCCCATAATAACACGGAAGAAATGCATGTTTTTTCTTTAGTTTTATGTTTATAGGCTAGTCTGATCTTTAAGCATTGGTGCAAATACATGTTTTTTCATTAAAAGGTTTCCAAGATACAGCACTTTAAAGAAAGGTATGTACGACGTTTTCTTAAAGTTTAAGTCCCGTGTAAATAGGCAAGCCCTACGTTATATCGGCAAAATATACTGCACGTATATTCATATCACCTAGACCTTCAATCTCTTCAACTTTCATCCAAATCCTTAGAGGTCGCGCATAGAGGTGACCGCGGTGACATGAAATACCTCTACTAATAAATTTTTGTAGTAATCTTATNGTTATTGGAGTAGTTTATGTCGCTACTGAAGCATTTCATGCCACCGCGGCCACCTCTGTGCGCGACCTCTCAGGATTTGGATGAAAGTTGAAGAGAATGAAGGTCTAGGTGACATGAACATACGTGCAGCATATCTTGTCGATAGGCCTATTTACACGGGACTTAAATTTTAAGAAAACTTTCCTCTTTCAAAAATATACAATTTCAAAAAATTTCAATGTCTATTTATCATATTGCTCGAGCGTTAGACGATCCAGAGTCCATACGCCTAAGTAGCCCATTACGCCCATTTGGGTACTTAAAGTTGACATTATAGACAATGTTTTTATGTTAAAAAAAAAAAACAATGTTTGAAACGCTATAAAAAAAATAAATCAAAAAGAAAAATGTTTACTTATTTTTTTTTTGTTTTTTGATACGTTGCACATTGATGTAAAAAATGTATAATTAAAGCCCATAATAACACGGAAGAAATGCATGTTTTTTCTTTAGTTTTATGTTTATAGGCTAGTCTGATCTTTAAGCATTGGTGCAAATACATGTTTTTTCATTAAAAGGTTTCCAAGATACAGCACTTTAAAGAAAGGTATGTACGACGTTTTCTTAAAGTTTAAGTCCCGTGTAAATAGGCAAGCCCTACGTTATATCGGCAAAATATACTGCACGTATATTCATATCACCTAGACCTTCAATCTCTTCAACTTTCATCCAAATCCTTAGAGGTCGCGCATAGAGGTGACCGCGGTGACATGAAATACCTCTACTAATAAATTTTTGTAGTAATCTTATGCACCGTTATGTTAAATTATTGAGTTCTTACGATTTTTCGGGTTGTAGATTGAAAAAAGGGTGGTCTACTTTTTTCCAACAGTTTAACCCATTAACTCCCACTAGAACCGGCTTTTTTGACCCATGGTTAAAATTTCCACTAAATATTAAGCGCAAAATTTTACTAATGTCAAGATTTTATTCAGTTTTTAAAATGTGATTATTGTACAGCACAAGATCGCACAGTGGTTCGGATCGCAAATCTAGCTGGACGAAACTATTTAAACAAATACTCGTTGATGGATCTTTACACCACTTCTTACCTAGGGGATTTTTGGGTCGCTGATTACGAATCTGAAGTCACTTATCAAAAATTCAAAATGGCGGATCCAATATGGCGGACGAAAATTAAAAAA